ATTCAAAATTAATTTTACCTGGTGATGTACGAATAATAAACTTGCCTTCTGAGCAAGCATCACATGAAAAATTATTATGAAAAATCTGTTGGTTCTTCAAAGAATGTCCACATGAATTCGTAATTATTTTTCGCATCATTATTGAACCGGGATGGCCTAACCGGTCATGCCAAACAATAAAATTATCAGTAAACTTCTGGTTTACTATAGCATGAGCTTCAATAACATTGATTTTTGTGTAGTACAAACCACTAGAAAATGTAGGTAGTTTCTCCAAAACATGTTTTGAGCCTTGAGTTATATTTTAAATTTGAAGGAATTCGTTATTTTCTTCATTGATTGTCTCAATATGATAACCATGGTTGCGAATATCCTTAAAACTTAATAAATTTCTTTGAGACAATGAGGAGTATAAAGCATCAATTATTTTAATTTCAGTTCCCCAAGGAAACTTTATAGTGGCTCTTCCGGAGCCCTCAATGATATTTGTACTGCCCGATATGGTACTCACATTAGTTCTTTTCATCATCAAAAGAGAGAAATATTTTTTATTTTTAAGTATTGTATGAGTAGTTGCACTGTCAGCAAGACATAATTCTTCACCATTCATAGCAAATTGAACTTGAGTTATATCCATGTTTTTCATGAAATAAAATACATGTCAAAATATTAAACATAAAAATAAAGATGATAAATTACATAAATCAATAAAAACACTCAAAGAGTTCATAAATTTATAAAGCAAAAGTCCTTATTACAACGAAAGAAATAAACTTAAGTAAATCACTAGAATAAGTAAACATAAGTCTAATACTTAAAACTGACACAAAACAATATAATATTAATTATTCCCTTATGGGGCAGTGAAGAAATCAGCAACTTCTAAATGATTTGTACTGCCAAAATCAAAATTATTCCTTTCCGGGGAAGTAAGGAAATTAGCAACATCGAAATGATTTGCATTGCCGAAATAAAAATCACCATCACCATCTTCAAGAACAAGGTCTGCCTCTACTTTCTTTCCTTTCTTCAATGATTCTTGGTAAAGTTCAATAAGATGCTTTGGAGTTCTACAAACCCGAGACCAATGACCTTTTCCTCCACAACGGTAACATATATTGGTATCACTTTTCTCTTTTTCATCCCTACGTTCCCACTTCTAGTGGGAATGTGAGTTTGTGAAATGACCTCCACGACCTCTATCATATCCACGTCCACGACCCCGGCTGCGCCATTGGCCACGACCACGACCTCTACCTCGACCACTACTGCTGGAATGGTCTCTGTTTTTAGTTTCTTTCCCATTATGGGTTGTCACATTCGCTTTAGGGAATGGAATAGAGCCAGTAGGACATGATTCATGATTTTTCATTAACAGCTCGTTTATTTTGCTCAGCCACAAGAAGACAAGATATTAATTCAGAATATTTTTTAAAACCTTTTTCTCTAAATTGTGTCTACAGGACAATATTATTAGCATGAAAAATGGAGTATGTCTTTTCAAGCATTTCTGCATCAGTAATATTTTCTCCACATAATTTCAATTGAGAAGTTATTTTAAACATTTGATTTATATTCACTAACAGATTTAAAACTTGCAATCTCAAATTCAACCATTCATAACGAGCTCTAGGGAGTATCGCTGTTTTTTGGTGGTCATACCTTTCCTTTAGATTACTCCAAAGGATTTGTGGGTCTTTCACAGTTAAATATTCATTTTTCAACCCTTTATGGAGGTGATGGCGAAGAAAAATCATGGCTTTAGCCTTATCTTGAGGTGTTGTCTTATTAGCCTCTTTTATTGTTTCACCAAGCCCTTTAGCATCTAGGTGTATTTCAGCATCTAACACCCATGATAAATAATTATTTCCGGTAATATCAAGGGCCACAAATTCGAGCTTGGCAAGGTTCAACATTTTTCAATGATAATAATAATATGGGATTCTAGATAAATGTTTGGTAATCCTACTCAATTGACTAGCAATGGTGCTGATAACGTATTAAATATGGAAGAGAAAATATAGAGAGATGAGGGAAGATTATTACGTTGAATTTCATAGTCCATCTATTACGGGATATATATAATGTACATTACCTAGGGTTCCATCAATGGATAAAACCAAATACCCAACTCTAAAGTATTCTAGATTGTACATGGGATAATAGTCATCCATATTTAGATATTATCATAACAATAAATAATAAGTTGTGCATAAAATATTACATATACAAAATATTAAGTAGTCAATACGAAATACTTAGTAAAATTTAAAGGGCCCAAATTTTTGGTAGCACAGGGCCCTCAAATTGATTAAGACGGTCCTCGCCAAACCCGCTAACCAATTACCTCCAATCTCCACCACCTTTGCACCTCATTGCAGCCACACCTAACCACCCTTATTGCGCCACCATAGAAGCAGCAAACTCCACGCCAACCGCAGCTCCTCGCATTTCCTCTACTCCAATAACAACCGCACAAATTAGCCACCAAATTACAACTTACGAACAGCAATTACAACTCCAACAAAAGTCGCAACCACCATCACCTCCTTCCCCACCGCAGCTAGCAGCCATGAATATGGTGCGCACGCGAAGACCCTTTTATGCGTGCGCACACCAACATCCCGTAGCTAGGCATGAATATGGTGCGCTCGCGAAGACCCTTTTATGCGTGCGCACAGCTGGTTCAAATTGAAGCCATTGAACTTCATTAATTTGATGATCATATGGTTGTGATGGTGCGTGAGAAGCATGGGAAATTCCCTTATATGGTGCAGCGAAATATCTAAGGGTGATGATGGAACAATGATGATTGTGTGTGTTTGGTGATGTGCAAAGCAGGGCATTTTTCCTTCTTTTAATTCTCTTTTTATTTTTCCTTTTATTTTCTATTTCCTTTTCCTTTTACTTTCTTTATCTTTTCTTATTTATTTTATTTTACATTTCCTTTTCTTTTCCTTTTTTTTTTTACTAGAGTGTACCTGTGCAAAATGCACGGGATATGTAAGAAAAATTATATTTAAAATGTGAAAAGTTGATTTTGATGTTGTAATTTAGACTTGAGATGTAATGGTCGATTTTTGACTGGTTGGTTCTGTTGAACCCTAATTAGCTCTGTTGTACTGAATATTAATAATAATCGTATTAATAATGTGCTAACACCTGATGTGCTAAGCTGAAATATGATATTCTAAGCAAAGCTTGGAAGCTCAAAAAACAGGGTCTTACTCTTTTATGTCAGTGACCACACAATGCTATTATGGGTTTTACTTTTTCAAAGTTATAGAGGTTACCCGTTCAGTGTTATAGGGGTTACTCGTGCTACTCAGTTAGTGTCATATGGGTTAGTGTCTTACTTTAGGAGTTACATACTTTGTTCTGTTGCAAGTAGTTATTCACTGAGTCCAGTTGCACAAAAACGTGTTGTACATTTTTTTTTTGGTTTTGATGATTAAATAAGTGGAAAATGTTTGGAGGGTAGTCCCTAAAAAATGTATATAATTGAAGGGTTGGGGATTCAGAGTACTATAATTGAAGGGTTGGGGATTTAGAGTACATTTTTTTATATGTTACACTACGTACCAAAAAAAATAAAAAAAAATAAAAAAAATAATAAATAAATTGAAAATTTAGTAGTAGTCCCATAAAAAAAAAGAAAAAAGAAATAGTGAATGGGTTGAGGATTGGAGATTTGGAGGACTCTCGTTAAGTGACCCTACAATTATAATATAGATTTTCCTTTTCTCTTTTATTTTCTTTTATCCTTGTAATTATAAGTACCCATTTTTGGGGTCAATTTAAAGGAGAAGAATTAGAATTAGACCACATATTTCTTAGCTTAGTTGAGAGCTTCTCTCTCTAGTTTTAGGGTTAATTTTAGGAGTAGATTTTAGAGAGAGAAAGTGAGGAATTTCAATGGTTATTTAAGAGGTTGAAGATTCAAGATGACAATTGTATTGAAGATCTCCATTATCAATCAATGAAGATTTCTCACTCTCTTTCCTGTTTATTGCTTTATTCAATTTCATTTTTGTTTGAATTGGTTTTGATGTTTGATGCTTTATTAGTGTAGTTGTTCTTGATATATTGCGAATTCTTGATTTCTTTAGTTGTTTGTTGATAAATGATGATATTTGAGTAGTTGTTTGGCTAGAAATTTGGTGAAACTTGTATGATTGATTAATTGTGATTAATTTGGGAATTGTGTGATTGAGTGTTGACATTAAAGTGATTAATGAGGGTTTGCATGTATGTAATTCGATTAGGCCTTGAGAATTATGCTAGATTGCATTGTAATTGCTAGTGACATGACCAATTGATTTAGGAATTGCAATTATTGAGTGGTTTGGATTGTGATTCCATTACTTTGTTATTCATAGTGAACCATAGCTTATCAATTAGGAGATAGCTCTTTATTTCCAATTGATAGCTCTTATCATTAGTCTTCACAACCTTTGATTGGCATGATCTTTCCAAGTTGTTGCAATAGACATGATTACTTGGTGATCCCCGTTCCTAGTGTTTTTTTTCCTTGGTTATTTGTTTTTTTAGTTGTTAGTATTACATCTTACCTTCGATTTCGACCTAGCTTAGGCGCATAATTGAAAGTGCTTGAACATTATCGTTCCTTTGGGTTCGACCCTTGACTTGCCTCTATACTCGTATTTAGGTTTGTTAAGTGTTTATAAATTTAGTTTGACCGAGGGAAGATTAGATAACGACCTAATTTTCCCCTCGTCGGATAACAATGGGGGTTGGCCAACACATGATGACCCAACAAGTAGTGTAGAATCACATTGAAAAACATCATTGAAGGAATGTCCAACACTAAATCACTACTACAAAAACTAGAATAAGAAACGCAAGATATAGAACGGTTAACTTAGATATGCGATCTCTAGGATTATATAGAACGCCTATCTTAGTTAACCGTTCTATTTGATTTATTTATTTTATTTTATTAAATTGTGATTTTATTATATAGAACACATATCTTAGTAATTTGATTTATCCAAATTTTACACTTACAATATAGATCGCCCATCTTAGTTAACCGCTCTATATGTTTAACATTATTTATTTTAAAAAGAAAAAGAAAAGGCTAACATACAAAGAGGCCCAAATTCTAACCCTAACTCCTCTGTAGCCGTCATTCTCCTTTCCTCTTTCCTCATCTCTCACGCACTTCCCTCCTCTAAAACCCTTACTTCTTTCTCTTCTCTCTTCATTCCTCAATGTCTGATCCTAAAAATCTCCGAGCTAACGTCCAATTATCTTCCTCCTCGTCGTCTTCTTCCTCTATTTACAACTATCCTATTCGTTGCATTGCTTTGTTTTTCAACCCCAACTCCAACTCCAACTCCGATGCAGTACGGTGCGCGAAAGCTCGAACCATTACAGTCTCGATTTTTCTTTGTTTATGGTCATTGTTGCAGGTTGAATAGAGTTTTACATTATCGAGGTAGGTGGTAGTTGCAAATGGTGGCATTGAATTGATTTTGGTGGGTCGTGTGAGGTGATTGGAGAAGTGCATTTTAATTCTCCATTATTAATTTTAGATCTACAACGCTTATCAATTCATTATTATGTTATGATTTGGATTAAAATTTCTGATTTTTCATCTTTCATTTGTGGGTTTTTAGTGTGGTGTTCACTATTTGCGTGCACTATTGATGGAGGTGTTGCGGTGGTTGAGGTGGTGGAGACGTTGCGGTGGTTGAGGTTGGTGGAGGCGATGCTAGTGGTTTAAGTTGGGGGAAGCGCTGCTAGTGGTTCAGGTTGTTGAAGCGCCGCTGCGATTGAATTGCTTTTGATAATTCAAGTTGCAATTTCGAACTAGTTACTAGTTAGCAGTTTAGCACACTAATAATTATTAAGTTAGCAGTAGAATTGTATCAAATGTACTTGAGATGTAAATATTTGATTTTTTTTTTTTTAAAGATGTAAATATTTGAATATAAAGGATAATAAAAGTTCATTTTAATTGATATTTGAGTTATACAATTTCAATTTGATTTGATTTGATTTATTAATTGATGGTGTTAATTAGTATATATGCGTGCAACCTGCAAAAATTAATTATATTTTTTTTAAAAAAAAAATTAACAAAGAGAACGGTTATCTTAGATAACCGTTCTCTTGTTTTCATTTTATATAAGCATATGAAATAGAAAAGAGAACGGTTATCTTTTGCATATAGAACGCCTCTTATACCTGTTCTCTTTTGTCTTGCATATAGAACGCCTCTTATACCCGTTCCGTAAGCTTTACACATCGCTTAGCAGAAGAACGCCTCTGAGGCAATTTAAAAAGCCTATTCTAACAGTTCTCTAAGGCCTTTTTGTATTAGTGAATGTAGAACCAATGCAAGATGTACCAATCAACACACCATAGACTAAACAATTCCTTTCAAATTGTTGTCTTGCAATACTTTTACCAATACGAAAATATGGTAAACAAGAATGTAGCTTAAGATGTTCATAAGAATTCGAAGTCATTGAACAACCACCATGCCAATTAAAAAAGCTTTCACAACATCCAACTTAAATTCTTCTTTCAATTTGTGCTCTATATAGTAATCATCACAACTTTCATTAACATGAATGTGAAAAACCCCACTAGAAGAACATATGGAAGGAGTAGGATTATATACCTCACTTAAGAGATTTTCATAAGTCGGAGACAAATAATCATCAACATGAAATGTGGACTCCATGTTTACTTCATTCAAGATCATAATCGGTAATGCCTCTTTGCAATTTGTTGACTCGACATCAATTACTAGTTCATCATCATAGATTTGTGGACCATAGTCTCTCTTATGATAAAGTGGAAAATGTGGTGTAGATATTTCTTCATCCATACTAGGAACTTCAATTTTATCACATAGCCTCTTCCATCATAATTAGCAAAGGCTTGTGTGTCTCACCCTTTAATGCACAAGGAATTTTTAATGAAGGTTTAGAATACCCACTAGAAATATTCACCTTAGCAAGCTTCTCAAAGTTCAAAGCCTTTTGAACTACATGATCAATACTTCCATGGGCATAAACATCATGTTTTTCCCTTACCTTCCTCTCAAGACAACCAATGTTCCTCGCATTCGTATGTATACTTCCATGTATACTTCTCCACCATCATAGATCGTTGATTGAGAGCATTCAACTTAAGAAAAACATCATGCAAATAATCTGTAGGAACAAAAGCTCAAGTCATGTGCTTCTTCAATTTCTCCCAAGATGTGTTTTTTGTTTTTCCCTCAATCCTCCTACGATTCTTAAAATTCTCATACCACAAAGATGCATGTTTCTTAAGTTTAATTATGGCCAATTTACGACGTTTTTCATCATTATATCCTTTACAATAAAAAAAAATTCTCTATAGTTCTAACCCAATCAAGAAATTCGTTAGGATCAAGATTACCTTCGAAGTCTGGAAATTCCAACTTGATTTCTCGGTCACGGTTGTCCTCATGGTGTCGTTGGTGGTGTTCCCTTCTCCAGTGAGGAGAGTGAGAATCATCTTCTCCACTTGGGCTTTTCCTTCTTCTAGGACTTCTTCTATTCTGCAAGACCTCAAGAAGTCTATCAAACTTTCTTTCTAGAGCATCCAATCTAGAGTGTTCATTGTAACTTTCATTATCTTGATAATAGTACCTATCACCCATGTTTCTAGATAAAAAGCTTGTATCTTTGAGAGAAAATTTTCAAATTTATGGAAAAAATATGAGATCTTTTTAAAGGGGGAAAGAGAAATTCAAAAGTTAGGATCTTTCTAGGCTAATAACCTAGGCTCTGATACCAATGATATGAAATAACAAAGGAAAACAAGAAAAAGGGGAATATTCAAGTAACCACAACTTCAAAATTAACAAATCAAGATAAACCTATCTCAACAATCACCAAGATAAATCAAATAGGGGATTCTTAATCAAGTAACACAAAGTAAAGGTAGGATTAAGGTGTAACCACAAATATTACAAAGTAGCAATCACAAAGAAAGTCAAATAATTACAAATATTATGGTAGAAAGAGAAAGTTATTTTGATTACAAAATCAAGAAAAAAGCTCATCAAAAATTAAATGCAGAACGTCCACAAAAGGAACTTAAATTGTCCGTAGAAAACTGATTGAAAACAGGAAAAGGTCCGGCCGAATGATGAGTGTCATTTATGGCACTCATAAGGTAGTCTTTTAGGATGTTTTCACCCTATTTTTATAGATTTCTTTTATTATTTTGGTCTTTTCTCCTTTAGTTTCTCTATTTCTTTCTTTCTTTGTGTTTTGCTTTCCTTTACGTGGATTTCTTTGTGTTTTCCTTTTATTTGGCTCTTTTTCTCTTCTATTTCCTTTCTTTGCTTACTTTAGTAGGTACTTAAGGAGTTGGCTTTGTAGAGGGATCATGAAGAGCTATAAAGACAAAGTAAAGGAAGAAGCTAGCTCCTTGGAGAGGGCGCACATCTTTTGCCAAAAGTCGCGGGCGTGGGTAAAGTGCACAAAATGGAGGATTTTTAACAGTAGCGCCCCGTGCCTTGGACGTGGCCTAGCCGCAGGCGCGGTTGGCTTGGAGAGGCTGCTGCGATATGGAGAGAACGCGGACCCCTGAGTTCACTTGGGAGCAGGGCATTTTGCAACGCCCTTAGCCGCGGACGCGGTGGTCTTTGTTGCAAGCGCGGTCTACGGTACCCGCGGGCGCAGGGGTTGCGCAAATTGCTCGCAGAGTTTGTTATAGGTTTTGTACCCATTTTTCCGCAACTACGGGATTTTATGGAGAGGGGCCGGCCGATCAGCTATTCTTCTATGTCTATTTATACTCTTGTGTTTCCCTTTAAAAGACAACTTTTGGATAATTTCATTTGCTTAGTTTTTAGATAGAGAAAGTAGAGATAGAAGTTCTTGAATTCGGAATTGTATTACAACATTGCTTCAAATCAAGTTTGGAATTCTTCTTCATATCAATGAAAGTTTATGAGATTTCTTTCCTTTGAAATTAAGTTTTTTTGCAATCTCCTTTAGTACTTGAATGTTTGATTTGAATTTTAGTCTAAGTTTGTGAAATTAATGAATGATTGAATCCCTTCTTGATTAAACTTGAAATGAATATGTTTGTGATTGCATTTGTTTTGTCTTCCAATTACTCCATGATTAGTGAGTAGAATAGTTGCTAGGGAGAAGGGGAAGCATGCTTGATTGATGATTTTTTCTAGTTGATTAAGATTGATTGATTGAATTGTTGCAATTAAATTGGTTGTTATAGTTGTGCATGTGATTAATTAGACTAGGAGTGATCAACCTATAAGATTAATTTAGATTGCATTGCAAATTTCAATGACATAAACCCTTGATTTGAGAATTGCTTTAATTGATTAAATTTGATTGTGATTTTTCTTGTTAGCCATTCATAGTGAACCCTAGTTTAGTTTATAGGAGATAGCTTTTGGATTCCATTGATTACAACTATTGTTTGTCCTTTGTAATGTTTGAACCAATTGTGTGATCTATCAATTAGCATAATCATTGAGCTTGCATGTGGAACATATATCCCTAGTGTTTGGCATATTGAATTTTTCGATTTATCTTGCTTATTGATACCTTATTACTAACCATAACTTTCTACAATCTTCGAAGTTGCTTGACCTAAGATATAGCTTGCACCTACTCATTCCTTTGGGTTTGACCCTTATTAGGTTGGTCAAGTGTTTATAAATTACATTTGGCTTTAGGGAAGGCTAGAAACGACCTACATTTTCCTTGCGTTAAAATTGTGTCGTTGCCGGGGAGATACCGATTTTCAAATTACCTTCCAATTGTTTAATGTCAAGCGTACCTTGAACCTCCATGATTTCAATGTAGCCCTTGGTTTCAACCCTAATGCCGATATCTTTTAGCCCATCTATTCTAATCCTGCTAGCTACAATGAGGTTGAATGTCGAAGAACTATTTCTATCAAGAAGAGGTTCAATTCTAAGGATTCCATCGCTAGTGAAATTGTGCACCCGGCTCTTCGGATTCTTCATAGGATTCTTGGGTATGCAATCTTCAACAAAAAAGACTTTGGAAAGCTTACAAGGGAGGATATACTGGTTATTTAGATGGCTACCAAGCCGGATTTTGGGCCAAGGGTGAACTTTGGGTATATTTTTATGGATTGTTGCGAGGCTATGATTAGTGGGGCAAAGACCGGGGAGATACATTGTGGGGGTTTGATTACAAGGTTGGTGAAACACTTCAAGCAAGAGGAGTTCTTGCGATCTTGCACTCCGGTTGGAAGGAGTGAAGACTTGTTCCTACACTTGAAGAAACTCAAGACCTTGCACTTCATTACTAGTACTAGGCACCCCAATGTCTACTCTTAGTTAGTGCAGAATGAGCACTATTGCTTACTTCCCAACCCGACCTCAACTTCTATCTCTCGGAGGGCTACGAATGTTTGGAAATTCCCTAAGGATAAGGGGCAAGTAGAGGTTGATTTGGAGAATAAGGAGGAGGATGATGATAATGGTGAGGAGGAGGAAGAAGAGCAACGCCAACATCAACAACAAGAACAACAACAACACAATCAACAAAAAAGAAGAGGAAGGAGACAACAACAACATCAACATGACCACCAACGAAATGACTATCTTCGTGAGATGGCGGCTATGCGTGAGCAAATGGAACGTATGCAGCTAAGCATGCAAGGCATGTAAGCCGACCACCAACACTTTTCTTATCAAACTAGCGCCTTATATGATGCTAGTGTGCGTAGGGGGGAGGTCACTCCTCCGGTTAACTACCCTTATGAGTCGGTCCAACAAGGGCCCGTGCAATCTTGGGGTGGTGACAACCTCCCTACGTACCCATATTGGCCGGGTGTCTCGAACCCCGATGAGCTTAGGCGCTATTTTCCCGATGAGTCCGATCAATATGACTACCGGGTTTCCGGAAGGAATGATTATAGGGGGGATCCCAACTACCCCTATGTTCACCCCACTCACCCCGAACATTGTGTGTAACCCGAGCCATATGACCAATTATCCGTATCCCAACTTGACTTCTTCAAGGGTCATTATAGGTGGCCACCCGGTTACACCATTGGTTGGGATCCCTATGGCCCCCCTTTAGGATTTTCTTATGATGGGGGGGATGTGGGTGTGTAGACACCCATTAGTGTCTCCCCAAAACCAAACCTAGTGATGAGTACCTTTCACGTCGAATCATAATCGAATGAAGTGAAAGTGTGGAAAGTCTAGTGTTGCGGATAGTTTTAATTTCTTTCTCTTCTCTCTGTTTTAGAAAACTTATTTTAAGAAAACATCAAATCCAGTTTGGTTGGTCCATGATATAGGTCCAATAGTAGTGTAGTTGGATGGGGCTTGACAAAAGCTTTCCAACGATATATTATAAGCCCAATTCCGATGAATATTGAGGAAGTTATGGCCAAATTACTGAACTGGGTCCGGTTCGAGCCTTATATGCGGCCCAATGATCTAGGGGAGGGCTTAATATGGATTTATCATTCCTAATTCAATTAGGAATGGTTTTAGTCTTCTAGATTCTTCTAGAAGGTTCTTTTCATTCCTAATTCAATCAGCATTGATAAATTGACTTTTGTTGACTTTTCAGAGTTTTAATTAAAATCAAAGAGCATATTTTGAGAAAAGATACGATTTTATCCTCCTGTACGGAAAGATACGATCAGAGTTTTCATATACATTCATCTACAATCTACCAATTCTCTTTCTCTCTCTTTCTTTTCTAAACTAGCTTCTCTCAAATACAAAATTCCGCATTCATTAGATTTAGAAACACCTAGCCAAGTTCGAAGTTGCCTTCGCCCTAGACGTGAAAGAAAGAGGTACGAGGCATCAAAGTAAGTATTTTAATGGTTTTCATTGATATTATGATGTAGAAATCATGTTTAAGTTGTTATTTTGATTCCTAGTATCATGTTAGGATGTTTATTGCTTCCTAGTATCATGTTTAGGGTAAAGAATAATGTCAGTTATGATTTCTATGACGCCTTTTATTGTCTTTCCTAATATTCATGTTGGTATCATGTTAGGCTTAAAGCTTTGATTTGTATTGCTTAGTGACATGCTAGGATTTGTTATTAATCTTGTTAGTATCATGCCTAGGATCTTGCTATGCTTTAGCTTTATTATGATTATTTTGATTATTATAATTATTGTTATTAATTATTATGTTGCTTGATATATTTATTGTTATTGCTTGATCACACCTTTTTTTTTTGGAAAATATGAGAAATTTTATTACCAAAAGGAAAAGTTACAACTTACAAAAGCTAAGTTATAACTAACACCAAACTCCACAAGACCTGAAAAAAACAGGCCAACCAACCACCAAACAGTTCAAGCTAAGTTCTAGGAAGGGTTCAGGAGAAAGAGACAAGAGCAACCTGAGCTCAAGTTTCCGGCCACCTTCTAGGAAGGGTTTTGGAAACTAAGCCCAGGAACACAGAACAAACACAGAGCAGGACAGACTTGCAGGCAAAAAGGCACCACTCATGCAGACTGTAAAAAAGAAAATCTCCACCTAGACTCAGCTGCAAAAGCAGCAGGACTAGACAAAAGGAGGTATAACATCAGTTAAGAGAAAACAGCCAAACTAAGCACCATAACAAAGTGCTGACCTAAAACTAGCATAACCAGCAAACCAGACTAGCAACTGCACGAAAAATCAGCAACAGCAGAATAGCAGCCAGAAACAGCAACAGAAACCAGCAACAACAGCATACTTCAGCAACAATAGCTGGCTTGTAGCAACTGCATCAAAGAAACCAGCAACAACAGCAAAAAACCAGCCACAGCAGCAGATTTCAGCAACAGCAGCACAAACAGCAACAGGTTCAGCAACAGAACCAGAACCAGCTGACTTGCTGGCCTGAATAACAATAGAACAACAATAGCATAGCAGAACAGCAATCAGCAACAACAACAAAAACCAGCAACAGCAAAACAAACAACAATAGTTCAGCAACAGAATCAGAACCAGCTGATTTGCTGACCTGAACAGCAACAGAACAACAACAACACAGCAGAACAGCAGTCAGCAACAACAACAGAAACCAGCAACAGCAGCTGATTTCAGCAACAACAACAGACAACATTAACAACAGCAGAAACCAGCAGCAGTACAGAAACTAGCAAAATTAACAAAAAACAGCAACATCAACAAAAACCAACAACAGCCTTCAGAAATTAAAAAAACCAGAATTCAGAAACCAACAGCAAACAGTTAGAAATCAGAATTCAGCAACAAAGATCAGCAACAACAGCAGAAAAAAAAAAACAGCAGAAGCAGCTCCCTGATAAACCAACTAAGCAAACAAGTATTTGCTTCCCGTTGGGATTCTACAGGCTGAATGGAAGATAATATCCCTAACTAGGACATCAACAGGCTTGCAACAACCAGTGAACAAAACTGCATTCCTCTTAATCCAAATACCATATACTGTTTCAGTGAAGGCAACATGGATCACTTTGTTTTTCAATCTGGAACTTCTGTAGATTTTCTTCAACCATTCAATCTCATCACCAAACTGCTGAACAGGCTTGGAAACATGTAAGATACTCAACACCTTGTTCCAAACCCGTCTAGAGTACTCACAATCAAAGAATAAGTGCTGAACACTTTCATTGCTATTCAAGCACAAAAAACACCTTGGATCACAAGAAATCTGCCATTGTAGCAACCTATCCTTAGTGACAAGCCTATTCCACAAAGCTAGCCACAAGATAAAAACACTTTTGGGAGTTGCTAAATTATGGCAAGTAACTCTCTTCCAAGGAACTTTAGGCACTTGAGGCCTAATAGCAGCATAAAGCTTCTTGATTTTCAACTTGTTGCCCTGAACGAACCCATCCCATCCCCCTTGATCATTCACAATATCTCTACAACTCAAAATCTTCTTCAAGAACCAAGAGCATCTAGCAGGGGTAGGGGTGGTCCAACAATCTTTATGCTTGAAATTGTAGATATGGACCCACTTAACCCAAAGATTATCAGCCTTGTGAGCAATATCCCAAAGTAACTTAGTGACAGCTGCTTTATTCCACTCAGGAAGAGAAAGCAAGTTCCAGCCACCACAGACTTTAGGAAGACAGACATAATTCCAAGCAACCAAAGATTTCTTAGCAGGGGCAGAGGATCCAGTCCAAAGAAAGCACCTGAATCTAGCCTCAATCTCTTTCAGAATTTTCTTTGGCAAGATAAAAATTTGAGCCCAATATGTCTGAATACCAAACAACACACTCTTCACCAATTGAAGCCTCCCAGCATAGGACAAGTGTCTATCCATCCACCCTTGGATTCTAGCAGTCACCTTCTCCACCAAAGGCCTACAGTGAGCAATATTAAGCTTCTTGGAAGAGAGAGGGACCCCAAGATACCTAAAAGGAATAGTACCTTGAGAACGAAACACCAAGAAGCCCTCTCAGCTCTGTCTGAACATCAACAGAAACTCCTTCAAAAATAGACTTCACTTTTATCAAGATTAGCAGAAAACCTGGTAGCACCCGAATATTTCAAGAAGGCTTGGAAGAGAAGCTTAACAGAGGCACTATCAGCTCTAGAAAACATCAATAGATCATCAGCAAACATCATGTGAGTTAGGTTTAACTTTTCACATCTAGGATGAAAGTTAAAATCAGGATTTAACCTAAGCTCATCAAGACACCTGGAAAGGTATTCCATACCAATAGCAAAAAGAAAGGGAGACATAGGGTCACCTTGTCTTAAACCTTTCTTAGCTTCAAAAGGAGGGGCAGGAAAACCATTAATAAGAATAGAATAAGAGACAGAAGTAAGACAAGTCCAGATCTGGCTAACAAATCTCTGAGGGAAACCAAGCTCTTGCATAACAGTAATCAAGAATCCCCACTCAACTGATTCATAGGCTTTCTTCAAATCCACATTAACCATGCATCTAGGTGAGATAAATTTGTGATCATAGCCTTTGATCATTTCAGTTGCAAGAAGGATATTGTCACCTATGGGGTTGCCTGGAATAAAACCTGCTTAGGCATCATCAATGACCTCACCAATGATAGCAGCAAGTCTAGCAGTTATGACCTTAGAAATGAGCTTATAAACCACAGTGCAACAAGCTATTGGTCTAAAATCCTTAACATGGGAAGCGTTAGGGATTTTAGGAACAAGGGTGATAGTTATGCAATTCCATTTCTTAGGCAAGGTCCCTTTAGTAAAGAAATCAATAACACTAGCATAAATATCATCTTTCACAATATGCCAAGCTCTCTTAAAGAAAAAGGAGTTAAAGCCATCAATACAAGGAGCTTTAGTGTTATCAATTCCCTTAAGGGCAGCATCAATTTCAGCATGAGAAACATGCTGAATAAGATAACTCTGAGCAACAGAGCTAAGCTGTTTACCCCTCCTCATAGTAACAAGGTCAACAGCAGGAAGCCAAGGAGCCTGAGTCCCTAAAAGAGACTTATAGAAGGAGATAACTTCATGAAAAATAGCATCTAGATCCTTAAGCAAAACCTAGTTAGAGTCAAAGATGGAGTCAATTCTATTCCTTGCTTGTCTATTCTTCATCACTAAGAAAATTTAATGAGAATTGCCATCTCCAAGATTAATCCAGTTGATCCTAGATTTTTGTTTGAAGATGCTTTCCTGAATATCATTCCAGTGTTTGACAACCTTAATAGCATCAGATTCTTTAGCATATAAATCCAAATCATCAGGATTCTGAGCCATTAAGTTCTGAATTCCAACAAGCTCAACATTAGCTTGATCAATCTTCTCCTCAATGTTGCCAAACTTCTCGCTATTAAGAGACTTGATACTAGACTTCACAGAATTAAGCTTCTTCCAAACAGAACTACCAGAACCCCAAGCCTGAGAAACAGTATCAAGGAAATCAAGATGATCATCAATACAGTTTAGAAACCTGAAAGGTCTACCTCTCCCAGCAGGGGCAGAACAAATATCCAACAGAACTAGACTGTGATCAGATAAAGAAGGGGGGAGATAGACAATCTCAACATGCCCATGAGAGGCCAGCCAAGCTTGGTTACCAAAGACTCTATCAATCCTAGAAAGAGTTCTAGGACCAGTGTGAGCCTTATTTGACCAAGAGTAGAAGGCACCTTTGCTCTTGACCTCAGTGAGGTCCAAATCATCAACCAAACTCTGGAAATCTCTAGTCTCATAATCAGTAACATCAGTACCATGAAGCCTATCTAAAGTATGAAGAACAGAGTTAAAGTCACCAGCACAAAGCCAAGGAGAATGCTGAATAGAGATGTTCCTGATTCCTTCCCACATATGAAGCCTATCATGAATAGAGTGAAGCCCATAGACAACAGTGAGATGAACTTGAGTAGAAAGATCCTTAGAAGAGACACTACAATGAATAAACTGTTCATGAATCTTCAAGACATTGACAGTTACTGTAATTGCATTCCGACCAAGCCAAATCCTCCCTTTGGGAGAATGATCATAATTGCACATCCAAAGCCAAGAAGAGCCAAACTTCTTCTGATAAGTAAGAACATTTTTTGATTTGATTTTTGTTTCAAGAAGACCAATAACATCAACTGAATGAGAATGAAGCAACCTCCTTACAGAGGCAACCTTGCCAGGGTCGTGAAACCACCTGCACCATCCATTTCATTTGCAAATAGAGTAACAAAAGAATTAGAGGTAGAAGCAGGCTGATTAACCCTAGTTTGCTTCCTTTTTGTCTTCTTTCCCACTATTCTCCAACCCTCATCTGATTTTTGAGAAGTATGAACCTGTGGGGTGATAACATATTGCCCATGAATAGAAGCATAAACATCAACAATAGGAGGAGCTTGACTAGGCTTAGCAACCCAGACTTGCTGCACTTTAGGAGCTGCATTTACTGGCTGCTTGGGAGCTGCAGCCACCGAATGCTTAGGAGCTGATGGCACTTTAACAGAACAATCATGGCCCACTTTATTACACTTAGAGCAAAAGGGTGGAGTCCATTCATAAACTACCTTGAGTTCCAGAATTTCCTTTGAGGGGCTTTCCACAAACACAGACTTAGGCAATGGCTTGGTAACATTAATTTCTATTAGAACTCTAGCAAAAGAAACTCTTAGTTGTCTTGTAGTACATTCATCAGAGAAAATTGTTACACCAAGCAAACTACCAATACGACTAAGAGTTTCAGGACCCCAGCAATTTAAAGGTAAGTTTGGGAACTTAACCCACAAAGGAATAGTTCTCAAAATCTCTGCACCAAAATCAAATTTAGGACTCCAAGGTTTAATGATTGCTGGTTTTCCCATGTACATTTGTAGACCAGAACAAAGAATAGTATCCTTATCACTAACTGAACAACAATTAATGATAAAATGCTCATCATCATGCTAAAAAATTTCTGCACATCACACCGTTGTTGAACTATGAAACGATGAACAGCAGCAATAGTAGGGTAATGACCAACAACATAAAATACTAAAGCATTAGACCATTTCCTATTACCTTCCACGAGTTCAGATTTATTAAGCTGAGCAACCTGCTTCCCATTTTGAACAACTGGTGCAACGAAGAACAAAGGAGCTCCCTTAGTAGCTAACTTCCCAGAAAAAAAGCTTCGATCTTCACCATCCTTATGTGCATTCTGTTCCGGGGGAGGTACAGCGTGAGAATAAGTGATAGCTGGTTCAAATCGATGAGCAGCCGCTTCAGCATCCAATGGAACAGTACAAGTCGAAACCCTAGGTACTGTTTTATTGAAATTCGAAGATGTTGGTCTAGCAATGGCTTCAGCAAATAGGGCAATGATTTCAGCATCACTTCGGGGAATAGAACCACGGGCCGGATTTACCAATGCCGACGCCAGAGTGACAAGCTCGTCCACCTCCTGAATCGGGCTTGGAACAAAAGCTGTGCCTGAGTTCCGCAAATTATGTAAAATTTCATCAGTAGAACTTCTAAGTTGTACTAATTGGGGTGTAGAGTTATTATGCTTCTTCTTCTTAGCCATCGAAGCTCAAGATTGATGAAGAAACCAATCCAAATTGCTTGATCACACCTTTTATGCATGTTTAAAGGGAATTTGTATTTGTAATCACGCTTAATAAGATACTTAATAATCTTGTTTAGGGTTAATTTTGATTATAATTCAAGTGATCGCCAATAATAGTTTATTTGTGCATTAATATTCAAACAAACCATGGAAGCAAGTTTTTACTAAACTTGCGGTGTCCCATCCACTCGCGCCAACCCTTCATGGTTAGGCCTCCGCACGGTGCATCCGGACAATTAACCATGGACCCTCTATTGACTAAACCATATCCAAAACTTTAGAGAACTAGAGCCATGGTTAGGTTGCAAACTCATTGCATTATATTGTGCCTAATTGACTAATTGTGCATTATTTGTTGTGCATATATATGTTTTCTTAACCGTTTGTTTGACTTGTGTTGAGATTTAATAAATTAATGACTTAAAGAACTTTGCCTAATTAATTAATTAATTTGAGTAAATAAAGTAATATTTTAATCAGAATCGACCTAGTACGACTTTAGGCATACCCTTGTTGATTGATAACACCGAAAACAGTCCCAGATTGAAGCTCTAGCATTAGCGCCAAAGTCTGGACTGTAGCGCCACTTTGTGGACTGTGGCGCCTGGCGACAACCCTGTCGTCTGGCACTACACTACACAGTGCGACGCCAGTCCTGTCGTTTTGCCGACAGTTCGGATTATTGGTCGAGTCATCACCTAGTGTCTAATTAACCAGTTTGCTAATTAATTCGGTTAAATTTTTACTGTCAATAATACCTTGTTAAGTCATTAATTGAGTCTAGTCTCATAGTCTAGCCACATGGTCATGACACGAGTCTTAACGTATCAACAACACTCACTAGTCTTAGCACGCACTTTGAGTATATGTCACCATGACCATGTCTTAGGTTCATGCATGAGTCGGTCTTTTCCATCATTTGAGTTAGGGGTACATTCTATTCCTAATTCTTCATATCCCTCCATCTACATCATTTTTCTTCACATTCTATTCCAATATTTCTTCACTTCCTCCATCCATTGCATGTTGAATAGAGTTTAAGCCAAATAATTAACAATAGATATCCCCAAATTCCTTTTCCACAGTACTTGGTCAAGGAGAGAAGGGCGATTAATCAAGGACAACACCTTTTTTCAGGTCTTGCTTTTTGATAAACCGATTCGTCAAAAAAGGAAGGCTAAAAAGATAATGGCAAGTCAAGAAGAGGTCAATGAACTTAGGAATCAATTGAATGACGGGACTGAGGTTTTAATGGCTTTAACCCTCAAAATTGATGATCCTGTGAAGCAACAACAAATGAATCTCATGCAAGAAAGTTTGAGAAAGCAATCTAGTGACTATAAATTTCAGGGCATGAGTTCACAAGGGGTCTCGCTGGACAAGGAACTTCTTCCGTATAATTTCAATGCCACTGACATCCCAAAATTCAAAGCAACAAATAACCCTTACTTTCATCTAAGAGCTTTTGAAACCATAATGAACATTAAGGGTATCGATAAGAAGGTTTTCCCCACTCTGTTATCTCTATCTCTTGAAACCGTTTGCCAATAATGGTTCTTCTCCCTTGACAAAGAGAAAACCTCTATCTGGGAATCGATAGTAAACGCTTTCGTTGATAGGTACAAGTGCAATATTCAAGTTGAAACCGACTATAGACAACTTGAGATGCTAAGACAAAAAGAGAACGAATGCTTTACTTCTTTCTTTAATAAATGGAGGAAAACTTCCGCTAAGATGATTGAGGTGCCCACTGAAAAAGAATATGTGAGGATGTTTATCAAGAATCTCCAAGAGAAGTATTCGAAGCATTTAAAATATCAACACAATCTGAATACTTTCAAGGCCGTTTATGACATCGGAATTGAAATCGAAGATGACCTTGCAAAGCAAAAAGCTACTAACAATAGTAACCACGGTGGCTGGTAAGGAAAGAAGAACGACAATCCTTCTTCTTCCGAAAACGCCCACTCTAGTAACAATGTTAGTATCTTTGATCTTAGTGAAGTTTTAGCCATGGATAACCAAAGATCTAAGAAGCAACTAAGGAAAGACTTCACCTCCATTGGGATGAACTACGATACTGCCTTCGATCGACTCCATGCCAAAGGACTCATTACTCCCATTGGACCTATTCAAGACCCCGCACCTGAAAAGAGATTGCCTAGTTGGAATCCAAACGAACACTACAAGTACCATCAAGGTAGGGGTCATGATACTGAGAGCTGTTGGAAGCTAAAGGAGGCTATCCAACATTTGATTGATAATAACAAGCTTTCCATGCCTCCAGTTAACAAGAAGAGCGTGTGATGATAAAGGAAACAACACAAGACAAGAGGCGAGCTTCAACGACAAGATTTCGTGACCACTTTTTTCTATTTCTTTTTTATTTATCCTTTCCTCAATAAGTCTAGCATAGGCACCTTTTTATTCTCCTTAGATTTATTTTTTAGGATCGTTATATATTTTCTTTTAATAAAAATGAGCATTTATTTCCTTATATATGATCATTTCATTATATTGCATTAAAAAAAATAAAAATAAAAAATCCATGTTGAATTAAGCACAAGGTATACCAATGATTTTAGGCACCCCTTGTAGCCACATCATATCTCCTTTCACCTTTCAAATATACAATCCTTTCTTCATAAACCACTTTGAGCCTCGTCTAACAATGGACCTTTCTTTTTTCAACCCACATCTACCTAACCTTGGGATGGGATGGTGTGTAACTTATGCAAATTTCAAAGAACAAAAGCTTAAGTGATTCAAAAGATTAAAATATCAAAAAATACAAGCAAAAAAATAAATAAAAGTGTACAAAAGGGCAAGTTTTCCAATGTCTTTGATATGAAAATATCTTCAATAAGAACACGTCTCAAATTGCGTCTCTTATCGAGTACTCAGTACCGTGCCTGAGAAACATGAATGCCAAGTGAGTGATAGACCGTATGATCGAGATTTCCCACACTTATAAAAATGAAATAAATGCTAAAGCAAAAAGAGCTAAAAAAGAGTAGCAAGCCTCAAGCATAATAATATAAAAATTCAAAAGCAAAGTTGCGAACCTTGGGGGGCTTATCGAGGGTCTTAAGCCTTTTATCCCCTTCTTCTTTAACCTTTAGCCTAACCACGTTACAACCCTTAAAAGACCTTTTTGAGGTATACATACACTTGTGCGAGGTTCAGCTAGAGCTACGTTCGGCCTGATTTCTAACGGATACGTAGGCAACCTCAAATCGAGGTGCGGCCGTAATAAAAATGCATTCATATTCACATTCACACACTTACACCACGATCATATCAAGGGATCTCCTATGCTCATCCCTATCTACTTAGAGCTAGACTTGGGGGCTTGATCCCTACATCATTAGCTTACCTAGCCTAAGAGTCACCCTTATTTGACTCTTCTAAAAATAATATTTTCTCCACACACTTAGCCTTTGCGACCTAACTTTAGTGTCACTCTCACACACTGCACAGATACATGACCAAATATACTTCCCTTTAGGAACCCTTTATCATGGAATCTTAACACAACGCAGAAGCATGCCTTGTCATATCAACATTACTCATCAATCATAATTGTCATTGCATCACGAAGTATGAAGTGCTTAGCCTCCGTGCCTAAGTTACCTAAATGCTTTCATCATTGAGTCAACCATTGAGATAGCCTCGGATGGGTTAATCCTTGCACCTTGAGAGATAGTATTAAACAACATTTGACTAAGCTCATTCAACATGCACCTTCAAAAACTTCGATTCTTTTTCGCGTCTTTCTTTTTCGGGAGAAAGTCGGTACCCTCCACAAAAATGACGGAAATTTTTTGTTTTTTTTTTCCATTTTTGAGTCACACAATAATAATACAATGCACACACGGGTCACAAGTCACACGTGTCATTTTACTTTGAGTCGAGTCAACTCGAGTCAATCACAGCGAGTCATGTTTATGCCTTGAGTCGTGTCGAGTCAATGAGTCAAGCGAAATTAAACCTTAGGTCAACCCTAAGATAATTAAATAGATTGGCAAAGTTCTATAGTAAAAAATAAATACAGGTGCAGCAGAAACGGGAAGACCCTACTCCAGCGCCAGACGAAAACAACTAGCGTCTGTCAACAGTTTTTAGCGCCTGGCGTTAGATTTCAGTGTCTGGCGACAGAGTCAATTCTTGGCGCCAGAGATATTTCAGAAGCGACAGAGCTCGAAGCCTCTCAGAAAGGTGATTTCTACTTCATACATCAATATCGGGTTCCTTGGTACGCCAGTTAGCCCCTATGAGCAATTGACATGATTAAGTAGTCGGTTTGATTACAATTGAAATAAGTGATCGACCTGATGAAAGATCGTCTCACTTAGCTTAAAACGCCTAAGAATTGGCTCATCACGGAGACACCGACATACTGGTTTACAAGCAGCAGAAGCGCCGACGCACTGGCTAAAGCAAGTTTAAGTGAGCTTTAAAGATCGACGAGCGTTGGTCTTTGGTAGTTTTCTTCGGAATATTATCGCAAAAACTGAGGATGACTTCAAGTAAAGTTATGTTTGACAGCGTTCGCTAAGATTGTGGAAGTTGTCACCAAAGATTTGAGAAGATAGCACGAGATGGGCGGTCTTCGACGGCATTCGCTAAGATTGTGGAGGTTGTCACTAAGATTTGAGAAAAGATTTGAGAAGATAGCACGAGATGGGCGGTCTTTGACGGCATTCGCTAAGATTGTGGAGGTTGTCACTAAGATTTGAGAAAAGATTTGAGAAGATAGCATGAGATGGGCAATCTTCGACGACATTCGCTAATATTGTGGAGGTTGTCACCCAAGATTTGAGAAGATAGCACGAGATGGGCGGTCTTCGACGGCGTTCGCTAGGATTGTGGAGGTTGTCACCAAGATATGAGAAGAGCGGTTCATGATGAGGCTGTCTTCGACGACTTTTGCTATGATTGGAAAGGTTGTCACTATG